TACATTTACAAACAGGGCTTAGAATACCGGTTCTTCCCATGGCCACAGGGAGGGAAACATCACACACGGGGCCTGTTGGGGGTTGGGGGGACTAGGGGAGGGGTAGGTAGCAGGGGGTGGGGGGATTGGGGAGGGATAGCATTAGGAGAAATACCTAATGTAGATGACAGGGGATGGATGCAGCTAACCACCACCATGGCACGTGTACACCTATGTGACAATCCTGCACGATCTGCACATGTGCCCAGAACTTAAAGTATAATTTAAAAATTAAAAATTAAAAAAAAATACTGGTTCTCAACTGGGGGTGCTGGTGCTGCCCGGGGTTCTTTAGCAATGTCTGGAGTCATTGCTGGCCATCCTGCTGGGGAGGGGGATGCTGCTGGCATCGGAGGTGGAGGCTGGGGGTGTCGCTCAGCAGCCTACACTGCCCCGAACAGCCTCCGACAGCAAAGAACCCTCCATCCCCAAATGTGGACAGGGCAGGGGCTGAGAACCCAGGCCGGGACCAGCACCTGGCACGTGGCAAGAGCAGCTTGGGTGGACTGTTATTAAAATGATTTCCTCTCAGACCGCTCATCAGTGACTGTGAGAACACAGGCATGATCTCACGAACCCAGGCCACATGGTGGACAGTTTTGAGGACAAAGAAAAGGGAACATTCACGGAATGCATTATTTCCTCTGACCCAGGAAAGGACTGAAAGTGGAAATTTGAGGTTGTGTAAAAATGTTCTGTTTTCATTTAAAAATAACAGAGCTTCCTGGGAATTTGAATTTCTGATTTCAGAAGAAAATAGGCTATAGAATATAGACTATATACGGAATCTTCTGGTATAGATGATTCCAAAAACACCAGAATATACCTGTTCTGTGTCATAACTAAGAGGTTGACATGGAAAGAGACTCAGATTTTCTTCCAGAAAGTGCCATCGCTCAGCTGCGAGGAGTGCTCGCAGCAGACAGCCCCCAGTGCTTAGTTCCCTGAGGGTCCCTGTGTTTTGAGCTGAGTCCTGCTCTCTTTCGGGTAGCCCCAGCTATTACCAGAGATGGTGGTTCAAGGGTCTGCCCACTTTCACCAAAGCAGGGCTCTTCCTCGGGCCCCCACTCTGCTCCAGACCGCTCAGAAATGCTGTCAGGTCTTCCTCACTGCCATCCTCGGTGCCATTCCACTGCCTTCCTCACATGCCTTCCTCCTTCATGGATATTACAGCCTCATGGACCTTCTGTCTCATCCTCTGCTCCCCAGAGACCTCACAATCCCACTGTGGCATGCGACGGATATGACGGTAGACCCTGGACCCAAAACGTCCTGGATTCTAATCCCAGGTCCGAGGCGTCCCAGCTGAGTGAACGTTAGCAAATTCACTCATCATGCCTCAGCTTCTCATCTTCACAGTGGGGACTGTAATCATGCCAACCTTGCTGGGTTACTGTCGGAATCACTCAAGTCAGCGCAGGCGCATACCCGGGAAGGTTGCCAGGTGGACAGTTGTGCGCGATGCCAGCTCTAACACCTCTGATCTGTGAAGCCCCAATGAGGAGCTGGCTCTCCCGAGTTTCCAACTACTCTCCACTACATGCACGCAGGCAGCTCTCTCCTGGAATAGGGAAACGGGCCCTCGGGATTGAAGAGCTGACTGACTGTACTTGTCTGCACAGTTGACTGCATAGTCTCCTAGGCTTCCCATAAAAAATTCCAAGGACCAGGTGGCTTACACACAGAGCTTTATTTTCCCACAGTCCCCGATGCCAGAAGTCAGAGATGGGGTCTCCGCAGGTTTGGTTTCTTCCTGGCCTGGGGGCAGCCGCTTCCCACTGTGGCCTTTCCCCTATGCATCACTGGTGTCTCTCTGCATGGCTGAGTGTCCTGATCTCTTCTTCTTAAAAGAACACCAGGCCGGGTGCTGTGGCTCATGCCTGTAATCCCAGCAATTTGGGAGGCTAAGGCTGGTGGATCACCTGAGGTCAGGAGTTTGCGACCAGCCTGGCCAACATGGCGAAACCCTGTCTCTACTAAAAATACAAAAATTAGCAGGGCATGGTGGCACTCACCTGTAGTTCCTGCTGCTCGGGAGGCATGAAAATCGCTTGAGCCTAGGAGGCGGAGGCAAGGCTGCAGTGAGCCAAGATTGTGCCAGTGCACTCCAGCCTGGGTGACAGAGGGAGACTCCATCTCAAAAACAAAAGAAAAAGACGACAATGGGCAGATCGCGTTAGGGCCTGTGATGGTGACCTCATTTTTACTTAACCACCCCTTTAAAGACCCCGCCTCAAAATACAGTCAGATTCATTTGAATTTAGGGAGGGAACCAAATTCAGCCCACAATAGGCTCAAGCTGGCTCTTTCCCTCTGTACATGGAGCGGCCCTGCTGACCCAAAGTCCATCTGCACCATGTCCCTGCCCCCTGCCATAGCACGTCCTCCTCCAGTGCATCCACTTAAAACTTGCTTATCTCTTGGCAGAAAAGTGTGTGTTGTACATTAACAGGTAGTCCTGACTTATGGAACGTTGTTTCCCAATGAATAAGCCTAGTATAATGAGCCTAAATTCTCCTCTGATTAATTAGCCCCGTGTGGCAGCCCCTCATGGCGATAGGACACTAAGCATCAATGTTCTTATCTGGAAAATGGGGGTAAAGGTACCATCTAATGGATATATTGTGAGGATTCAGCAGAATAAGTTATTGACACTCAGTACAGTACCTTGCCTGTAGCAAACAATAAATATTACCCACTACTATTACTGTTTCCACTATTATTAATGTTACATATAGAGAGAAACATAGTTTTCACTCTTGTTGCCCAGGCTGGAGTGCAATGGCATGAGCTCAGCTCATTGCAACTTCAGCATCCTGAGCTCAAGCGATTCTCCTGCCTCAACCTCCCAAGTAGCTGGGATTACAGGTGCCACCATGCCCAGGTATTTTTTTTTATTTTATTTTTAGTAGAGGTAGAGATGGGCTTTCACCATGTTGGCCAGGCTGGTCATGAACTCCTGACTTCAGGTGACCCACATTTTTAATCCAAGACAGAGACCAAGCACAAAAAGGCACTACCTAACTTGAGAATTGGAGGCAAGCATTCCTGTAAGGATGTCTACTTCTGCCAAGTTTGAGGGGAGAGAAAAGAGAATTTCAACATCCTTCGCTTTAGTTCTTAAAAAAAAGAGAGAGAAATATTAGAAGAACATAAATTTTACCAAGAATGTTGGTGATATTTAAATAAGATTTAAATTCATACAGGATTTAAACAGCAAAGAAAGAAATGGCATTAAATTCACATAAGTGCTGGATTCTGCACACTGGAGTCAGAAATATTAACCATATCCCCATAACGGAACAGTGCGACTGGCTGGAAATGGATTACAAAAGGGGTTCAAGAGTTTTAATAGATCATCCCTTCAAACCATCAGCATTGTAAAGTGGCAGTTAATAAATTATTTGACATGTACAGTTAGTCATATTTTAACGAGAAGTAATGAGCAGGTCTTGCCGGCTCACCTAGACCGTGACATTGCCCCAGTTCATCTCCCGGAAGGGCAGTTTGGAATGTTTAACAATCTAATGCAATGGACAGAGCTCTGATGGGAAGGATGGATGTCCAAATGCTGGAAGGAGCTCTGCTGCCTCCAGCTGTTGCGGGAACACATCTCAGATTTTCTCTCCAGACCAGGATGGAGTTGGGGCCAGGTCCTCTCATGGGGGACTAGGCTTGTGTCTTCCTAAGCTCAGCTAGGATCAGGAACCTGCATTCCAAGAGCCCAAGTGAGCTTAGGTAAGGTCCCCAAAGCTGAGCTGAGTTTAGAAAGGGTCCCCAGAGCCCAGGGGAACTTAGGGAAGGTCCTCAGAGCCCAGGTGAGCTTAGAAAGGGTCCTCAGAGCCCAGGTGAACTCATCTAAGGATAGGGATATGGATATCTTTGGGAGCCATTATTTAGGCTACCACACTCCCCCAAAGGCATGCCCCAATTCTTGTTTCGGATGAAAACTAATGGACTCACTGCCCCTCCCCGGGGAAGCTGGGAGACAGGACAAGGGAACAAAGTCCTTACACCGAACTTGGTTCTTCCCGTCAGCGCTGGCATGGAGGGGCCGTCTGGCGCCAGGTAGAAGTTGACAGCCTGGGCTCTGGAGCCAGATCCCCAGGGCTGAACCCTGGCACTGCCCTTCCTGGTAGAGAATCACAGGCAGGCTCCCCTACTCCCAACTTCCTCAGCTGGAATATGGGAACGGCAGTGGTGCCTAGCGTTGTGGTTGTTCTGAGGGTGAAATGAATCCACATATTTGGATTCCCTAAAAGGCAGAGCCTGAGACGTGCACCTGAGAGCAGGTGATTTATTTGGGGAAGGAACTCCGGATGCAGAATGAGGGAGTGAACAGCAAGATGGGACACATTTTGAAAAACAGCAGGAGGTGCATTGTTGAGCTAGCTCACGTGGTGGCAACTTCTGTGAAATCCTTTTGAGCCTCTCTAGGGAACTCTGCAGGATGGGGCTCAGAATCCATCCCCGTGCCTGAGACGGAAAGTGGTCTGCATATGCTCTGTTGAGGACGTGCTCAGGATGCACCTGCATGGGATTGAAGAGAGTAGGATGGGAAGAGGAGAGGCTAAGCAAGGTCAGCTTTGGGTGCAGCAACAGCCAGCTCCACGAGGAGGTCTTAAGACCTAAGGGCAGCTCCACGAGGAGGTCTTAAGACCTAAGGGCAGTCTTCTACGGAAGACGTGGGATGAGTCGTCAGCAACACACTTGCAGCCCCTGGGGAGGAGTGCACCAACCCAGGCACAGGGACCCCAGGAATCCCAGGTAGGCTCAGAGAGCACCTATCATAACATCTGCTATGCTCAAAAGCAACAGCCAGTATCTACTCCACACCTGGACCTCCTCCCCACAGTAAGTGGTCTCCACCAGCCAGGGTGTTTCCGTTTCCTCCTCCTTGGGCCATGTGACACGATGAAGGCTCACCGTCCCCTCCCCATTTCTCTCTCCCCTCTTTACAGGTCTCTGACAGATGTGACTATGTCTTTGTCAATGGGAAAGAAATGAAAGGCAAGGTGAACGTGGTGGTGAACTTCACCTACCAGCACCTGAGCAGCCCCTTGGAGATGACAGTGTGGGTGCCCCGGCTTCCGCTGCAGATCGAGGTCTCGGACACCGAGCTCAATCAGATCAAGGGCTGGAGAGTGCCCATCGTCTCCAGCAGGAGGTGGGTGTTCCTCTCAAACTTCACGGCAGGCTAAGAAGGAAGTGTACGGGGTGGTAAATTCGCACATGGCTGGGTCTGCTCTGTGTTAGCTCCATTCTCTATCAGCATTTCTCGGGAGGTTCCAGGCTTCCATCCTCTCTTCTTTGCAACTCCAGCAGAGAGTGGCTCCTCTCCTTCCCACCCAGTGTCAGCAAAGTCCTGAATTTCAGTCAGATCCTCACTGGGATTTTGTACCCTTCCTTATCTAGTTACTATAGCCAAGTCTCTCGGACATACTGCATAGCTGGCTGGACTCCACCAGCTGGAGCCAGAGGAGCTGGAGGGGGAGGTGGACCAAGGCTGGATGAATGGACAAATTCCAGAAGAAGGGAAAATTGATGCCAGAAAGAAGGCACCGGATGTTCCTTGGAAGGACATCTGACAGGGTCAGCCAGATCTGAGCTGCCTCTCTGTGCTTCAGTGCAGAAGCTCTGAGCTCTCTGCCTGGTGAAACGAGGTCTGAGGTTGCCCACTGAGTGTCTGATACATTACCTCCACGGTGTTTGGTACAGCCCCAGGGGTCTCCACCATCTACCATTAGGCAACCACACGAGTACTACGTGAAGAGGGTGGTAGGAGCCAGGCTCTTCATTCACAGACTGTCATCTCAGAGAAATCGTGTGTAAGAATTCATGCATTAGGGACATGTTGATTGCTAAAAGTAAGTACGTGCAGCAGAAGGAGACAAGGAAATATTCCGGGAGTCTGTGTACTCAGCAGGGGGTGGAGAATTGGCGCTTATCTGAGGAATAACGTCTATTCCTCTTCTTGCAAGCTCATTCCTTTAGTCCTGTGACCCCTGGGAGAAGTGACGCTTCAAGGACAAAGCCTGTGGGTCTCGTGGACAGCTGGGAGCTGGCTTCCACAATGATCTTTCTTGGTTGTTGGGGTTTCTGGTGTTGAGTTGGGAGTGTGGATTAGAGAGTGGCCACTGGTGCTGCAGAGGGAAGAAGCTGGAGGGGAAGATTCACCAAAGACCTGGCTGAGTCTGACCGCGGTGCATCCCAGGTGCAGTCACAGCTCCTGATTCAGACATGGCAGCAGAGTGAATGTGACAGGGAGCAGCTGCTGTGCTGATGGAGACCGAGGTGGTGCCAGCAAAGGGCCTGACTGCACGAGGGGCCAGATGTGGAGGGAGCAGCTGCCCTCTGTCTCCTTCCAACCACCCCGGCCTTCTCTGCTATACTTATCATATTGGCCTCACCTTTGGTTAAACATTCACCCTCGTTGTATGCTGGGGTACAGAGCCACACCATTGATCCCTGACTGTCACGTGAGCTAGCCATTCTGTCTAACACAGTGGCTTATCCCAAAGCTTAGTGGTCTAAAAATTATCCCTAGAATTAATATGGCTTAAAAGAACAACATGTGGGCCAGGCATGGTGACTCATGCCTGTAGTCCCAGCACTGAGGCTGAGGCAGGCAGACGGCTTAAGCCCAGGAGTTCGAGACCAGCCTGGGCAACATAGCGAGACCACATCTCTACACAAAATTTTACAAATCAGCCAGGCATGGTGGCTCGCACCATAGTCCCAAGTATTCAGGATGCTGGAGTGGAAGGATTGCTTGAGTTCAGGAGTTTGAGGCTGCAGTGAGCTGAAATTGCACCACTGCACTCCGGCCTGGGTAACAGAGCAAGGCCCTGCTGCAAAAAGAAAGAAAAAACAACATGCATTATCTCACCGTTCCGCGGATCTGGAATCCAGGCACGGCTGAGCTGGGTCTTCTGAGCAGGGCCTCTGCCAGGCTCAACCCACGTGTCAGTGGGGCTGGGGTCCCGTCTCAAGGCTCACTCGCGCAGGTGCCGGCTGGTCTCAGCTCCTCGCTGGTGCTGGCCAGAGGTCACTCTGTTTCTAGCTGGGTGGAGACCTCCACAGAGCGGCTCGCAGTGTGCAGTTTGCTTCATCAGAGCCAGCAATTGAGAAGAACCAAGGAATGACAACACAAGCGAGACAGAAATCACGGGCTTTTCAAGTCTAGCCACGAAAGGGACCAGCCAATCACTTTGCCATAACTTTTTCATTGGACAAAAGAAACTATGTCCAGCCCACACTCAAGGGGAGGGGTTTACACGAAGCAGACACCAGGAGGTGAGAGGGTCGCTGGAAACAGCTGAAACCCCAGGAGGTGAGAGGGTCACTGGAAACAGCTGAAACCCCAGGAGGTGAGAGGGTCACTGGAAACAGCTGAAACCCCAGGAGGCGAGAGGGTCACTGGAAACAGCTGAAACTCTGCTTGCCGCACCCATCATGCTGATGGCTCAGTGCTCAGGCCAGTGCTGTGGTATCTGAATGTCACCCCTGCATGTCTGCCTGAGAACCCCTTGAAGGCTCATGGCTTCCTTCCCTCTGCAGCCCCCACCAGGCTCCACCAGTCCTCCTTCTAGAGGATCAACAAGTAACTGTCTGCGAACTGCACTGCCTCTTTCACAGGCCCGCCGGGGACAGTGAGGAAGAGGAGGACGATGAGAGGAGGGGCCGCGGCTGCACCCTGCAGTACCAGCACGCCATGGTGCGGGTCCTCACGCAGTTCGTGGCTGAGGCGGCCAGCCCTGGGGGACACCTGGCCCACCTGCTGGGCTCCGACTGGCAAGTGGACATCACGGAGCTGATAAATGACTTCGTGCAGGTGGAGGAGCCCAGGATCGCCAGGCTGCAGGGTGGACAGATCCTGATGGGGCAGGAGCTTGGGATGACCACCATTCAGGTACAAAATCCCCAAAGCAAGCTCTCTCTCTCTTCCCACCTCTGCTCCGCTCAGGGGAGAATTCAGCTGTCGTCATTACTGGGAATAGTATCTAGTTTCACGATGGGTAAATTCAAAGAAATTGTCCAGTAAACAATACAAGTGATGCCAGCTGGGCACAGTGGCTCACACTTGTAATCCCAACACTTTGGGAGGCCGAGGCAGGCAGATCACCTGACCTCAGTAGTTTGAGATTGGCCTGGGTAACATGACTGGAGAGGACCAGCGGCAACACTCGGGTTTTGAAACAAACACTTTTACAAAACAGTGTTCTGGGAGGCTTGCAAGGGTTTGGTCATTTACCTCCCAGCTGAGAACAAAGCAAGTTTGTTTTCTTTCCATACACATGTACGGGGTACAAGCACAGTTTTGTTTCCTGGACATATTGCATGTCTGCCTTGTATCCATCACCCAAATAACATACACTGGAGCCAAAGGAAGAGCTTATTCCTCAGCAGCGGCTCCATCTGCAAGTGAGGCGACTGTCTTATCAGGCAATCTGTGAGGTTTCTAAAACAGCTGTGCCTGAGGAATCATTATAACTGAGACTAGATTGGATCATGGGAGATTTAAAACACATCCATTCTAGAAAAGTGGCTGGTATATATAAAACTTCATTCTATCCAAGGAGGAAAACCAATGGATTTGGGCTGTAGACCAGGAGTCACATGCTCAGATGAGCTCTAAAAGCTCAGAAGCTGCCATCAGTGAAGAGAATAGGCTGGGTGTGAGCTGAAAGACGGCAGCTGATTTTGCTGAGTGTTAGAGAGACAACAGGGAGTGGGGAGGCCTGTGGAAAAGGGGCAAGCTGTTACTCACAGCCAAAGGCTGCCGATAAGAAATGTCCACTGCAGCCACATGTGACAATTTTCCAGAAAAGCTGGAATTCTGTGTTTTTATATGAACCCTGGCTCTCTAAATGGTCATTAATTCTATTTTAAAATATAATTTGTGTCAGATAAAACATATCTGCCTCATAGATGCGAGCCTGCAACCTCCAAAACTGACTAAGAAGTTGAAAGACCTGAATCCCTTCCGTAAATCTATAGGCTTGACTGACACTGATGCCCAGAAACTCACAGTGAGATGAGAATTCGGTATTCACATCTTCCCTTAAGTGATAATTTCGGTGCAGAGAGGAAGAGACAGACCGTTCTGAAATCAGGTGTGAGGGGAGAGGAAGCGAGCCAGCTTCTCACACAGTAGACACGGACACTGGTTTGTGGAGGCATCTAGTCCTGCGAGCCTTGGTTCTCTCTTTCTCACTGCATCCTCCTGAGTCATAAATTCACCTGTCCACTTTCCTCTGGGGACACATCTCTCATGCTAGCTGCCATTTAAGTTATCACAATCAGACCAGAAAGTGAAGGTGGCATTTGGTTAGAAATAAGGAGCTTTGATTCCTGGTCTTAAAGCATCCTGGCAAAAGTGCTGTCTTGACATACATCATAGATATCACCAAAAACGTGAAAGGAGAAAGAGTTCGAGAAAGCAGAACAGAGGGTGAAGCCCATGCCTTCCAGGAGGCGGAGTTACACGCAGCCATGAGTCTAGGACAGCTCTTCATTGTTTGGGCGGAAGTGAGAGGAGGAAGAGGTGATGCCACAGAAGTTCCTCAAAGGCAGATTTCCTGTTCAGGGTCTAAATTGCACACAAGCCTCATTTCCCAGGTCATTCCAGGCATCCAGAGGAGAAATGAGGCTTGGAGTTCTTGGCCTCAGCTGTAGACACTTACAACCTATGTTTATCAGAACATGGCCGACCGTATCACACATCATCAGGCATCACGCACAGTTGTACAGTGGGGTCTCCAGTGACACGCAGGACTGAAGGGAGCCAGCAGGCTCCACCTGCTAGTTGCATTATTGGTTTCCCACATGCAAGAGAGAAAGCTAGTCAACATATAACCATACACCCAACCCATTGTTCACTGATAGGAAGGCTTTGAAAAACCAAATCATTTAAGTAAAATAATGTCAAACAAAATACACACTAAAGAGTAGAGATACTGATCTGCGCTGTAGAAGAATCATAAAGTTAACAGTCAAATGATGTCAGTTCCTCCTGTCCAGGATGGAGCACGGTGGGAAATGGAGCTGAACTGTGGGGTGTGGGGAGCGGGGGCAAGCCCTCTCTGCCCACTCCTTCACACCACCTGTTACGCAAAATTGCATTACATTTTCTCAAGCAAAATACTTGATTTGGCAGGCGGTATCAGTGGGAAAGACATGTTCTCGTTCATTCTGGCTCACGTGTTGCCCTGTCGCCACCTGCACACCGGGCGCCTCCTCCTGAGACTGGAGGAAGTGCCCGGACCACAGAAAGCCTTTCCTTGTCATGTCGCTTCTGCCCTCCAGATCCTGTCTCCTCTGTCAGACACCATCCTGGCTGAAAAGACCATCACTGTACTGGACGAGAAGGTGACCATCACGGACCTCGGGGTGCAGCTGGTGACGGGGCTGTCGCTGTCCTTGCAGCTCAGCCCAGGAAGCAACAGGGCCATCTTTGCCACTGCAAGTGGCTCAGGAACTTCTGCAGAGGCCCAAACAGGTATGGAGGAGGGCTTCAGACACACCTCAGCGGGGCTCCCACACCAAGTGGGTCACACACCAGGCAGGTACCACACCAGGCGGGCCCCACAATACAGTGGGATCACATATCGGGTGTTTCTCCACCTGCAAGAGGAGCTTCAGAAGCAGATGACTGCTCTGCGTCATGTTTCCCAGCTCCCCTGTGCAGAGATGAATGAAATATATACATACATAAGGGCTGCAACATTAAAAAACTGGGAAGCCACCACGGGGCAGGAGCCCCAGAGGAAAGGCCCGCCCCTCATCCATCATCCGTGCAAGTGCGTGCAGGTGGTCACCTGTGCTGTCCACACCCTTCCTGCTTCCACGTGGGCGTGAGGGCACATGCAGGCTGACAGCAGGTGCACAGCCTGCTGCCAAGGTCCTGCTGGAGCGGAGGCTGCCAGACCTGCTGAGTCTGTGAGGTGCCCGTGGCGGGAGATCGCTTTCACACCATCTTTGTTCAGCTCAAGGCAGAAACAGAGAACTCATGGTGATGTCAGTTGGGATTTTCCTTTACTCTATTTGGAACCAGTGTAAGCTAATAGAGTGTGTTGTGTGTGTTTGTGTGTTTTATGTATGTGTGCATTGTGTGTCTATGTATATGTGTTATTTATGTTTTTGCTTTGTGTGTCTATGTGCATGTGTGTATATGTGTCTTGTGTATTTTGTGTTTTGGGTTGTATAGGAACCTGTGTGCATGTATATGTATATGTGTGTTCTGAATGTATTGTGTGATTGCACGTATCTGTGTGCTGTGTGCCTATATATGTCGTGTTTTTGCTTTATGTGTGCCTATGTGTATGCATGTGTGTATATGTGTCTTGTGTATTTTGTGTTGTGTGTTTGTGTTGTATAGGAACCTGTGTGCGTGTATATGTGTATGTATGTTGTGACTGTATTGTGTATAGGTATGCAGTCTGTGTTGTATGTATGCATTGTCTACGTGTGTTGTATGTATGCACATGTATGTCTGTTGTGGGTCTATGTTTTTGCTTTGTGTCTACATGCACGTGTGTCTTGTGTCAGTATTGTGTTTTATGTGTTGTATAGGTGCCAGTGTGTGTGTCTAAGTGTATGTGTATGTTGTGAATGTATTATAGTTGTGTATGTGTGTGGTGAATGTGTTTGTGTGTGGATACAATGGCTTACAAAGGGGACTTTTACAGAGGACCTTTGAATGTAGTCAGTTCTCCTTCATTAGAAGTGGATAAACTTTTTTTAAAACACAGGGAGTTGGGTGAACTTTGCTGAGCACAGTGGAAAATGAAGCTGAACTGTGGGGTGTATGTGGGGGTACCAAGCCCTATCTGCCCACTTCTTCACACCACCTCACTGTTACGCAAAATTGTGTAACAACAAAACTCAGTGGTTGCAGGTGGTTAGTTCTTTGTGCCCATGAAAAGGGATCCTCCTCCCACAGGCAGCTGGAAGCCTCCAGCCCGTATGGGACATTGTTTGGCCACTTCCCTTCTGGATCAGAAACTCTCCTGCGCACTCCTCCTCAGCAGGTGAGGTACCAGGCCCGCTCTGCCTGTGTGCAGCAGCTGTGGCTGTGACCATGTTCAAGGAGGCCTGAGCGCCACACTGGACCTGCCAAGGGGCACAAAGAGCCTCCCCACTTGCCCAGCCTGCACTTGTCACGCCATGCTTCCCTCTCAGGCACGCACTAATCTCCTCGTTCTTATGCAACAGTCTTTGTTTGCAGAGTTTTGGATTAGAAAACACTTGAAAGTGGATGATCCCAATAACAGATACAAATTCTTGGCCAAAGCGAACCTCCTTTTTCTCAAGGAAGGATGCCAGTCAAGAGGCATGTTACAGATAGCAATGAAGAAATAACCTGAGGCTTTTCTCGCTCTTGTGGGAGATAACATCCGCTGGCCGCCAGCGAGGCGTTAAGGAAGGGATAAGATGCAGCTAGAAGAAGGCCAGAGGGCTAATCCGCTCCTGCCATGTAGAGCTAAGCACGCCACCCTGAGATGTCCTCCTAGACGGTGTGCAGGGCTCTTACTCCTCACATGCAGCTTGGCCCTGGCAGAGGTGGTTTCAGGAAATCCGCTGTGCATTTGAATGCTCTGCTGAGATTTCGTGGTGGATGGAGAGAACCCGATCAGTATCACATCCAGTGACCTTTGCTTATACATAATCCATCAGAGGGCTTCATTCCCTAATTTTATATCAGCCCCCACTACACATCTTCCCAAGCCTAACTTCTTCAGTCTTGTTTTTCTAATTTCAAGTTTGAGAGGGAAAGAGAAAGAAGAAAGGGGAGAGAGAGAGAGAGAGAGAGAGAGAGAAGGGAGGGAGGGAGGGAGAGAGAGAGAGAGAGAGAGAGAGAGAGAGAGAGAGAGAGAGAGAGAGAGAGATGCTGGCCAGCTAGCATTGCTGAGATTGATGGCTCTAATGGCAGCAGCTGTCTCATTCCAATCCACTGTAGCTGTGGCCCAGCGGGCAGGGTCATGGGCCGCCATCCGGAACTTGGGTGGAGCAGGTTCTCTGAGAGGGAGGGAGGAGGGAAGAAGCGACGGATGTGCCACTGCGCTGTCAAGCATAATGACATCTTCACCAAAATTAAAGGCTTGCATAAAATTGGAGGTTATCTCCAACGATCTGCCTGGTCAAACTATTTGCAAAGAAAGTTGGTCTAAATCAACAGAGTGAAAAAAAGCGGGAGATTTGAGAGGTGCACAAACCTTAGCTCTGGCTGCTTTTTGGTCTTCCAGTTTCCTCTAGTTGGGCTGGGTGGAGGGTGGGGTGGCGGAAGAGAAGACTCTCCAATCAAGATGCTTCTTCCTCTCCGGCGGTCAGGCTTAACTCCTCCCTCCAAGCCAAGGTACAGAGACCAGGCCAGAGCTCTGCTGCAGACCCAGAAAAGGTAGGGTTGGCAGAACCACAGCCTGTAGCCCTGCTGTGGGGCCTTGTCTAGATTAGAGGCTTTCATCTGTATTGCCAGTAATCAGTGGAGACTCGGTATTGCAACTTAAAAATTATGTAATAAACATTTTTCATTTGAATGTGTAGCACTCGTACGTGATCCCACTAACCAGTAATTTCCTTTGTCGTGCAATTTATTACTGTTCAGAAGTCGATTCCGAACAGCCCAAGGGCTCATCTTCCTTTTAACACCTTCAGGAGGGGGAAAAAAAAAAAAAAGAAAGAAAGAAAGAAAAGCAAATCTTCGAATGGAGTGTTAAACCCTGGCCCTGTTGTCATTTTGTTGTATTTTGCTTTTGCCTCGTTATGAGAATGTTTTCTTTTATACTCTTGGTACTTATCACTTATTTCTACCTGTTTGAAACGTTTGTCTTGTTTTCATAGCAATATTTTGGCCATAGTATATCTACTGTGCTAAGACTTAGGGCTCAATGAGTTTTTTGGCCCATTTTGATTAACTCACGTATTTTTCTCCATAGGAAGCAGCCATCAGTTGCTGGGTCCAGTTCAGTGATGGCTCAGTCACACCCTTGGATATTTACGACGGGAAAGACTTCTCCTTGATGGCCACATCCTTGGATGAGAAGGTGGTCTCCATCCACCAAGACCCCAAATTCAAGTGGCCTATAATTGCTGCGGAAGCTGAAGGACAAGGCGCCCTGGTGAAGGTGGAAATGGTTATTAGTGAATCCTGCCAGAAATCCAAGAGGAAGAGTGTGTTAGCTGTGGGAACAGCAAACATCAAAGTCAAATTTGGCCAGAACGATGCTAACCCCAACACCAGCGACAGCAGACACACAGGGCCAGGGGTTCACCTGGAAAACAATGTCAGTGACAGACGGCCCAAAAAACCCCTGCAGGAATGGGGGAGCCAAGAAGGACAGTACTATGGCAGTTCTTCCATGGGGCTCATGGAGGGACGGGGCCCCACGACAGACAGGTCCCTCCTGCAGAAGAAAGGCCGGGAAAGCCTTTTGGATGACGACAGCCACTGGCAGACCGTCCCCAGTGACCTCACCAGCTTCCCAGCGCAGGTGGACCTCCCCAGAAGCGATGGAGAAATGGATGGGAATGACCTCATGCAGGCGTCCAAAGGGCTGAGCGACCTAGAAATTGGGATGTATGCTCTGTTGGGCGTCTTCTGTTTGGCCATTTTGGTCTTCTTGATAAACTGTGTGACCTTTGCACTAAAATACAGACACAAACAGGTTCCCTTCGAGGAGCAGGAAGGGATGAGTCACTCCCACGACTGGGTTGGGTTGAGAAACCAGACTGAGCTGCTGGAGAATCGCATCAACTTTGCCTCCTCTCAAGATGAGCAGATCACTGCCGTTGACAGGGGCTTGGATTTCGAGGAGAGTAAATATCTCCTCAGCACAAACTCCCAGAAGGGCATCAACGGGCAGCTGTTCAAACCTTTGGGGCCCATCATCATCGATGGGAAAGATCAGAAAAGCGAGCCTCCGACCTCCCCTACCTCAAAAAGGAAAAGGGTGAAATTCACCACCTTCACCGCCGTGTCCTCGGACGACGAGTGCCCCACCAGGAACTCCGTGGTGATGAGTAGCGAGGATGACATTAAGTGGGTTTGCCAGGACCTGGATCCCGGGGACTGCACCGAGCTGCACAGCTACATGGAAAGGTTCCACGAAGACGTGTAAGCCGGACACACACAGACGTTGGGCCTCACTCACCTTTCAGCCTTTAATTCCAGGACGTGTAGCAACGGTGTCCCCGGAGAGACATCAAGCAGCAGGACAGGAGGATGGCACCGTCGGCAGAGCCTCAGCCAGCCACCCCGGCCCGGCATCGACGCCCACGTCCCAGCCTACGGCGTCTTGCTGAAGAGGTTATCATGCATGGCAAGATTTCTAAAACTGGAGTCAAACACAAGCTCTGAATCACTGAGCGTCTGAGTTTCCAGGAAAGAACAGCCTCTCTCTCTCTCTGTAATCAAAACAATTTGGATGTTGTAAAATCCACATGGCTCCAGTATTCAATACTGCAGACCATGGAAGAAAAGCGCAACTCAGGTGGGGCATCCGTGGGTCAGTGGGAGGCGGCGGAGCCAGGCAGCCCAGTGCCGCCGTCGGCCGTCGCTGTCTCTCAAAGTCTGGGCCACAGCTGGCTCAGGTCGTGGACAGGCCAAGGCGGTGGCTGACAAGGACTGAAAGGGAACATGTGGGCCACTAGGCCACAAATGCCTTTGTAACTACAGGCCAAGGACAAAGGCATGGACGCAAATCCTCTGAGCCCTTCAGAGCACTTCTCTATTTGTAAACTAAGGATACTGGGCATAGAATTTGAATCAGGTTCAGAGAACCAGGCTCTTTTTATTCATAGCAAGTTCACGATGGTTCCATTTGTATTCCTCCACTGCATCGCCACCCTCCCCAAAGCCGCTGGTCACGTGTGGGTGGGGGAGGGAGAGGGCAGTTTCTAGTATTTGCTGAGTCTTTTTCACCCCCTGGGTTTTGTGTCAACTCCCAAGTGACATTCTATAAAGAAGCTCCCCCGACCCACCTGGGTGAACATCCCACGCTGTCAATCTGTGAAGAGGCTGGTCTCGGGGCATGGGTAGTATGTACACACAGTGAATTCCACACCAGGGCATATATGTTCCGTTGCCTTTCTAGAAAAAAACAAGAGCCACTTGGGACGGGTCTTTCACTGTTTATGGCAGATCTCCCATCCAAGAATATGCCCTCGAGGTTGTTGAGACAAACCTGGATGCCGGTGTGGAATGTGCAGGGCGTGCGGAGTTGGGGGGTTCTGGGTGCGAAAGCAGTGGGTCCAGCACGCTCCCAGACAGCACAGGCTTCTTCGCCTTGGAGGTGGGAAGCGGTGGGGGCCTTGGTTCGTGTGGCGGAGATACAGGTTTGCTTGATCCGGCCGTCAGCCCCAAAAGGTTTAGTGTCGCTTAAGATCAGCATGACTCTGGAGATCCCTGAATCCCCTCATTTGCCAAGCCTGTGAAGGGAGACATCAGAGAATTCCTGCCCCATGTCACACTCACTCCAAGGTAGAGAATGGTGTGTTGGAGGATTGCCAGATATGATCCTCTGAAATATGGTCGGGGACAGGGGGTAGCAGGCAGAAGAGGCTGTGCTGTTTAATGCATCTTCCATTTTTCCTTCTGTCATTTTATTTCTCTCTCTCTGCTCTTTAGATGTGTTCCAGTCTCTCTCCCACTCCGAACCTCTCTCCTGGCTTCCTTTCTGTGTCTGCAACTCTACGTGTGTCTTCCTTCCTTTTCCTCTCCACAGAACTGAGTGCCCTTTAGATCACGTGTCAGTTGCACCTGTTTATGCTTCCAGCCTTAGCCCTCTCCCCTGCAATCGCGGTGCTATCAGTTTGCTCTTGAGACTGGGGTTTCTGCAGCCGGTAAGTCACCTGCTCCTGTCCACAAGTTTGCTTACCTTGTTTGGCTGGATGATTAAGCTGTCACCCCTTGTCGATGGGACTCCTCTGCTTTCAGTAGCATCCTCGTATTTCTTTCCATTCTTACCTGTGTCACGTTCCGTTGAATACTGCAGCCGCTGCCCACGCCCAAATCCACCCACGTGTAGAATGTACTGTAGATTATAAGAATGTAATATATATTTATAAACTTACTGACTGTAAACATAAAGTTTGCGTTCAGTGGCTCGTGGCTGTCTTGTGTCTTTCTACACGTTGACCCCCTCCGAGAGGCTGGCATCCATTGCAAATAGCTCTGCAAATGCTGTGGCTTTAAATGAAATGCAGATTTAAGGATCCCGGCACAATCCAGTTACACCCTTACATCGTGTAACACTGCTCTCTGCATTGAGGGGATGTTGACGCATGAGGACAAAGTGCATTGTGCACTCATTGTCTCCTTCGGGACCTGAAAGGATTTGCAAATAAATCACACGTGCAATTCTCTCCTAAAAGCCTGCTGACTGATGGCGGTAAGTGGAAACTGTGGCAGGCAAGCATGTATTCCAGCCTCCCTTTGGGCTAGAGTGAGGAAAGCTGTCCTTTCTTTGGGTCTCCAGTGTACATACATGCAGTAACACTGGGCTGGGTTAAAAAGTTGATTTTAGATTCCTTTATCAACCGCAGACTCGAGACAATTCCACATAACAAGAAGTTGCATGGAACCTTTCCATTCATGCAAACAATAGCAAGTGATCATTTAGTCAGCCATTATTTACTGAGGAGCTACTATGTGCCAGGAATAACTGTGAGAGCTGGAGACAGACTCATACATATAACACGTGCACATGCACTCTCAAATCCTTACTTATATCTATTGGGGCCAGGGGATAAACAGCAAACAAAATAATTTCAGATAGTCATAAGTCTGGGCTTTTTCATTCTTTTTTTTTTGAGACAGGGTCTTTCTCCGTCTTGTTGCCCAGGCTAGAGTGCAGGGGCACAATCTCAGCTTACTATAACCTTCATCTCTTGAGTGCACAAGCTGTCCTCCCACCTCAGCCTCCTGAGTAGCTGAGACTATAGGCACACACCACCACACCTAGCGAATTCTCATAATTTTGTGGATGTTGCGGGTGGGGGGGGGTGGTCTTGCTACATTGCACTGGCTGGTCTTGAACTCTTAGGCTCAAGCAATCCTCCCACCTCAGCCTCCCAAAGTGCCGGGACTACAGGTGTGAGCCACGGAGTCCAGCTGCTCATACACTTTATAAAAGACAATGAAACTTGTTGCAGAATGGAGAAAATTGAGCCAACTTTCAAACCGTTGACCTTCACCTTAGAAATCTAGATTTCTGGCATCGCTTAAGAATTCAGACACTGGCGAAATGGGGCTTCCAATCTGACTTGGCCCCGCTGGGGCAGTGACACTGAGGGTTTGAGTCCTCTCCATCTGCTGTGTCTTGCGGACCCCAGAGTTAACCAACTCCATTTATGGTCGATCTCACCACTCATCTGATAGAGAAATGTGTCTCCCAAGTCACATCTCTACCCAAAAGTGGGGGAAACAGACAGGGAGGGAACCGTGTGGTTTCAAGACAACTTGAAAGAGCGCATGGCTTTATGAAAGGGAAGAAAATTCCTGTGTGTCTCCTAGGCAAATATAGAATGTCATTGCCTGAAGAACACAACTGAAGATGCCATTATGATGCAACCGGTCAGGCAATCCCTGTGCCCAGAATCCGAGAAAGAACTGACAGGCAAGTCTTCACTGAAATGTGCACGGGGGGGTCTTTTCAAATGTGAATAATGTGTGCCCCTTGGTTTCTCTCTCACCTGGCTGGTTCACTCATTCACGCACCTGCGGGGCCCCTGGAGGCGGTGAGTTTCCTAAGCTCCCCAGGAAGAGGGCTCTGGAGGCCAGAGGGCCGCCGGCCTCATCAGCGCCTCTGAGGGGGTCTCGCTTCCCTCCCTGGACTCCGGCTACAGGTACTTTACCATGACTAAGTACCTCAAACTGGGTAGCTTGAGTAACGGAAATGTGTGGTTTCACTTTTCTGGAGCCTGAAGTCGGAGCTCAGTGCGCGTGCGGGGCCGGTTCCCTCAGAGGCTGTGTCGGGGCTCCTCCAGGCCTCTCCCAGCTCCTGCAGTTGCTGGTGTCCTTGCTAGTTCTTGGCTTGTAGAAGCGTCACTCTAATCTCTGCTTTCACCTTCATGGGACATACTCCCTGTGTGTGCGTCCATGTCCAAATCCCCTCTTTTTTTGTGAGATGGGGATCTCACTTTGCTACCCAGGCTGGAGTATAGTTGTGTGATGAATGCTCACTGCTGCCTTGACCTCTGGGGCTCAAGCAATCCTCCCACCCTCGCCTCTCAATTAGCTGGAATTATAGGCACACACCACCATGCCTAGCTATTTGATTTTTTGTTAAGATGGGGTCTTGCTATGTTGCCCAGGCTGGGCTCAAGCTCCTGGCCTCAAGCAACCATTCCACGTTGGCCTCCCAAAGTACTGCAATTACAGGATGAGCCACCATGCCCAGCTCCAAATTTTGCCAAGGCGTATTATGCTAGGACCCACCCTACGCCGGTATGACCTCATCTTCACTCGTGACACCTGCAGTGACCCTATTTCCAAAAATAAGGTTGTCTTCTGGCACTGGCGGTTAGGATTTCCACTATGAATTTGGGGTCGGGGGAGACACGGTTCAACCTGTAACACCGGCCTCTGGTCCTAAGGTCCTGGGCAGCTATGCCTGTGCACAGCCACGGGCAGCCAGCTATGACTGACCTGGCACTGGACTGGTGGGGCCCACTGACCTTCCAGGAATGTGTCTCATCCCCCAGAGCTTTGCCCTTCCCTCGGTTTCACACCCGTTTTACAAATGAGTCTGCTAGGACACCCTGGGAGTACAAGTGAACAATTTATCTATTTCCTTCTGGGAGAGCTCAGAACTGTGAACTAATTACCCAGTTGGCGCCCCCCCATTGTGCGGTCATTAGCTCCTTGCCACCCTTTGTTTTGCCCGTGCAGCAGCAAATGATGCCCTGGCAGGAAGACGGGTGAGCCCAGGGTGTCCCCCAGCAGAGACTGGCATCCTCTGAGCCAGTGATTACAGTGGATGACTGCTCGGGGGTGAAAAGGGAGACCGAGGAGGGCTACAGGCCAGACGCCCAGGGCAAGTGTGACTTGGATCGGCAGAATCACCAGCAGGTCCTTCTCAAGCACACCGTGACGCACCTTCCCCACATCTGACCCCAAACGATATGAGTATACGGGAAAACATACTGCGAGGGTGATCAGAAAGTGAGAGATCAGAAAGGAGAACCAGAAGGTCTGTGCCGGGTACAAAGGCTACATGTGTTCTGGGAGATGTACTGGTTTCCTAGGGCCGTCATAACAAAATCACTGCAAACTGGGCTGCTCACAGCAACAGGAATTTACCTTCTTACCATTCTGGGGGTGGGAAGCTCGAAGTCAAGGTGTTGGCGGAGGTGGTTCCTCCTGAGTGTTATGAGGCCAGGTCAGCCCCATGCCTCCTCTTGCAGCTCCAGGCGGCTCCTGGCAAGCTTGGGTCTCCTGGCCGGTAGATCCGTCACTCCAGTCCTGCCTCTGTGAGTGTCTGTGTGCCAGTTTTCATCACATAAGAAATCCAGTCACTGGATTTTGGACTAGACCCTAATTCACTATGACGTCATCTTACCTTGATCACATCTGCAAAGACCCCCTTTCCATGTAAGGCCACATTCACAGGGACTAAGGGGTAAGACTTGAACATAGCTTCCTGGGGACACATTCCCATCCACTCCAGGAGAAAGAAGTCCACATGGTAGAGAAGTTGTTCTGTCTTCCTGCTTGCTTTAAAGAGTGATTTGCAGGGCATTAAAAAAATGAAGTGGGCTTCAGGAAAAAAATAGCAGGCGTGAGGAAGAGGATGCGCTGCCTTCTAGGTGCGAGCAGCGGTGCGTCTGGGACGCTTGGCCCAGGGGCTCCCTGTCTCTTCTCCTCTCTGCATTTTCCTCTGTATTAGACAGCCCGCTCTACGTAGCAGCCTCTGCAAATCCTAGACTTGTTATTAACGTTGCGCAGGTGACAGTCACAGAGCAGAGACAGTTTTCCCTCCCAGCATGTTCAGAAAAAGTCCTCCATTGCCTCCTACTGACCGACGCCACTAGCTAAACAAGTCAGATCTGTTGACAGAATGGCCAGGCGTGGTCACAAGGATCTCTCCCCAGCCCTGGCACCTGGAGAATGAGGGGCAAGTCCTCATGTAAACCTCAGCATAGAGACTCGGAGCGGAGGTTCCAAAGGCAGCATGCAGACACTGCCATTAACTGGGGAGGGGGATGCTGATCTCCCAAAGCAATGCATCCCAGTTCATTGCCTCCTCCCGGATCCCTGCATTTTCCATTCCCACGAGTTTTGCTTTCTAGACATTCGAGAAGACTCCTGAGCCAATATGAAGGAACCCCAGAGAATGCTGGGCCATGCTGAAGAGTGGGAGCCACCTCTTCACAGACAGCCTCTGTGGGGCCACTGCAGAGACCCCATCCAGTCTGGTTGAGTTCCTGTGAGTGCCCTCGCAGGGCCAGCACTCTGTGTAGCTGTTCCGTCTTGGATAGCCAGACCATGAATTTCTCACAGCTGTGTTTCCTGATGTTGAATGGAGCCTGACTCACCAATTATGGGAATGGACTGGGAGCCTGGTGGCTGAGGATTATGTTGTGACTTTCAAAGCCTCGTCCTGGCTGTCCGTGGTTCCCCCTTCAGGCAGAGCACTGCCAGGCTCCTGGGTGAATCATCTAAGTCGGCAGTCAATGTTTTCTAAATGAAAATTAACAGGGCAACTTTTTAAAAAGCATGAGTTAAATCATGTCACTCCTGGCTTAAAACCCTCCAATAGAGGCCCATAATTCCTGGAATAATACCTGGACTCCGTCATGTGACCGAAAGGTCTTCTGTGCTGTGGAGCTGCCTGCCACCCACCCTCATGCCCACCACCTGCTCACCTGCTCCCTGCACTCCAGCCCCCCTGGTTTCCTTCTGTCTGTTCCTCTGTCAGCAGAAGTGCACTCCCGGCTGGGCTCGGTGGCTCACACCTGTCATCCCAACATTTTGGGAGGCTGAGGTGGGCTGATCTCCTGAGGTCAGGAGTTCGAGACCAGCCTGGCCAACATGGTTAAACCCCGTCCGTATTAAAAATATAAAAAGTAGCTGGGCATAGTGGCAGACACCGATAATACCA